GAACTCATAACCTCTTTCACTACACCAGAACAGCCTCCTGACAACAAGGATGTTTTACCGAAAGATGTCGAGGAAGGAGCAGAAAGGACATGTCCTCTAGAGAGCACTGCAAGGTGTCCCCTCGAAAGACTATTAGTTCCCCGCGACCATAAACTCCTCGTCTGCTGGAGTGGATGCTTCCTCAACATTACATGCGTGTAGCTATTTACAGAAAAGCCATCTGTAGGATGTGCTCATGAATTTTTCAACTTGGAGATTAAATGTTTCAAGCTTAGTTCTCAAAATCTACCTGTTTTCAATCTTTACTCAATTCAGATTTTCAGACAGACTTTCCCATTTCAGGATACATTAGGATGCTGTTGACTCTCCTCGGGAAATGACCTCAGGTAACACGTTTCAAAGGACCTGAGCAATGCCAACAATAAGAATGGGATGAGTAAATACAATCATGGAGAAATTACACTGGTCTAATTTCTCTAAACGTCTGTAAGGGAGTCTAAAATTACCTTTGCTTTACCAGAGATGTTTGTAGATATGTAGATTTCCCATTTGAACCAGCTCTGAACTCACGACTTAAACTCTTCTATTAGATTCACTAGCAAATCTCAGTGGCACATCTTAAAAGTAAGCCCTTGATCTTTGCCATCTCAAAAACCAATATTCAGCTGAAACGTGACTCTGTTCTCTCCTTGCCAAAATTTGTCCCCGAAGAGACGGCCAAGGTCAAAGAACTAGACTCCACAAAATGCAAATACAAAGTCTATCCAAAAGATTTAAAAAAAAATGTAAATCCTAATGAGCCTGAAGTTATGGAGCACTCCAACAACCAGCCCTTGGAGGATTTGAGGACCATTTAGGGCTGCCTTCTGGTAGTCTCCCCGATTCGCTAAAGGGAGTCCAGAGAGGAACATGAAAGCACAGCAGGTCACCTGATGGAATGTGTTTATTATGTAGTCAGGAAGAGAAACCTGGGTTGGCCTCTCCCAGCAGGTTTCAGGCTCTGCCTGCTTATCTACAGGATAGCCAGGACTGCTCGGCAGAGGGAAAGCCGGGGTCACTGGGCTGAACCAGGGCTGTCAGTTTCCACCCTGCTCCCAGCCCTTTGCCCCTGTGGCCACACCGAGCACATCCCCGATCTCTGGAAGACCATCCTAGGTCCTGGTTTCATGGGGATTGGCTGGGCAAAGGCTGGGCTGCAAACATCTCACTGTTTGTCCGGGTTGCTTATTAAGTTCCCACACGTCATGGGGCTGTCTTTAACCTACAAACCTGTACTCCATTGCGTGAATCAAAAATACACATTCGACTCAGTTCCATGATGCCACAAAAAAAGGAAAGCATCCCATTTCCTCTGGAAGGCTGTTCCTTGCACTCCTGACAAAGCGCATGTGATGCAGATCACAATACTCCAAGTGGCTCCAAGCCACACGCTCCTAAGAAACACGACTGAGTCAGAGAATGGAATAACTTGGCCTACTAAAATATGCACACCTGCTGTGCTAGAAAGCAGCAATATGGGGAACTCATGAAATAACGTACAGAGTCCAACACGACAACTCCCCAAAATGAAATGAGCAGAAGGCTCTGCTTTGCTGTGAGCTGACAGGTGAACAGGCTCCAGAACCATAATGTCACCAGGGAAGACCTCAGTCTGGGTCAGGGCAGAAGGAAGGACACAGCAGATGAGGCCATGGTCAGCTTGAAAGCCCTCTGAGCACCTGACCCAGGAGAAAGTTCCCCCGCCCCTGCAGCTAAGGTTCTCAGATGACAACTGCCCCACCCCCATGCCCTGCAGGAAACCTGCCCAGGAACAGAGGTGCCGCAGCGTCTCCCAGAGCTCAGTGGGCTCCCAGCCCCCAGCGCCCACTCCCTGGAGCAGGATCCTGGCCTCCCTAAGTGAAGTCTTCATAAACCTGGGGATTGTAAGGGGGAAACTCCGTTCCGTACAGACTGTCATGTTTCTAGCCACTGTTTCTGAAACTCTTCAGATAAGGACACACACTTCATTCAGCATTCCCTGACCCAGTGACCCACCCAGGGACTCACTTGCCCATAAAGAAGAAGCTGGAATCTCTCTGGTGGAGGTCAGCATCACTAAATGAGCTGAGCAGAAGTGAGTTTTGATCATTAGAGCTGGGCAAGGTATTTCAGCGATTACTTTTCAACCAGACTGACCCCTGCTTCCTCAAGTTGAGGTAAATATTCCTGCCAAAAAACAACTGAATTTGGGGATTTTGCTTTGGGGGATGAGCGTGTGAGTTTTCATTCCAGTCAGGAAATATGTTCTTAAATACTTCCTTAGTCTGGTCAGTATTGCCCCTTCTCTGAAACTGCCTTTTCAAAAACAAAACCTACTTAACTTCCTTAAGTTTCTTCACAACATGTTCGTTATCAGTCTAGGATGAAAAGATGGCACTTTATAAAATAAAATTGGCATTTAGAAGATTGCCCAGTACTTCGAAAGGCTATAACCACATTTACGCAGACTGGGCTGTTCCAAATCTTTCACAAAATTCTGAACCTTAGAAAAGCTATTCTCCATGATTTGGGAGACAGCAAAGCTAGATTGATTTCCTTACCTAAAAGCCAGGTTTGACATTCGTTATATTATGAAATAAGTACTTCTAAAATTAGTTGCTTGAATTCCAAAATATACTTTTGAAAGTCAATAATGGTTTTTTTTTTAAGAATAGAAAATTTGCTCTTCATACCTCTTTAGAACCCATTTCTTATTTTATTCCAGATTTGAAGGGTTACCATTTTAAAGAATGCCAGACAAAGGGATCTCTATTTTAATCTTGATATTGGGCTCCTAATTTCATCCTTGTGTAATTTTTAAAAATCCCAAACTATCCAAAATAATGCATAATTATCATAGGAACTGGCATTTCAAACTGTGCTGTAGGCTATATATATATCAATACTTTTCAAATAAAACGTGTTCCTAAACACATAAGAAAAATACAAAAGATATTTATCTAAGTGTTATTATGCAATAATGCACTTTTTAAAAAGAAATAGTATACCAGATCCAAAAAGGGACATTGCTTATTTTTGTAACAGAAAAATGATGTAATTCTAATGATTGCTTATTTTTATTGTTATAAAGTTTTTTTATAACTAGATGTGAATTAGGGTTATTATTTCATAGACGTGGCTATTTTTTAGTCTGCTTTACTCCAAGTGTAAATTATAATTTATTAGCTTCTGATGGCTTTCCACTAATAATTATTTAAACATTTTTCCCAGGATCAATAAATTACCTCTGGCAAACACTGTTATAGTCAAAAGGGATGTCTCCAAACCAGAAGCTAAATTAAATATTGCTATGGCTTCTCATGTTGAAGCATGGAAGTATCTGGCAGTTTTTGCAGCTTGATGTCAATTCAGATGGATGCTATATTTCAGCTGTACTGATTTATTATTATTTCTTAGATGAAAGAGGACAAGTAGATTCCCCTGTGTAGTAATAATTGTACATTTGGTGTCTTAGTGTTTATTCTAACCAAGATTACTGAAAGTAACGTAAACAGTATTACCTCTAAACGAAAGAGGTTACTTTCAAGTGGCAAACCTTACTAAAAGTTTAGCTGCTTTATTAAGTGCAACTCTCAGCATATAGTGTTAAAAAATAGTTCTCTAGAACAGGAGTTGGCAAACTTTCTCTAAAGGACCAGATAGTAAATAGTTTAGCTTTTGCCATATGGTCTTTGTTGCATCTACTCAACTCTGCTCTTGTTGCAGGAAAGCAACAAGATTATATGTAAATGAGTGTGCATGGCTTGCGTTCCAATAAAACTTTATTTCTGGACACTGGAATTTGAATTTCATACAATTCTAATGTGTCGCAAAACAGCATTCTTCTCTTGAGTTTGTCCAACTGTTTAAAAATGTAAGAATCATTCTCAGCTCTCAGGGCCTGTAAGAACAGATTTCAGGCTGAATTAGGCCCATGGGCTGTGGTATGCCTACCCTAGTTCCCACAAAGCTACAGTAGAAACCATCCTTCCTTAAAGATTACCATTGCAAAATGAACTGATTGTGCTAGTCATGTGCTGGAAAATATAAAAATGAAAGAAAGACAAATTACCAAAGGATAAGCAAGGTGTGGCTAAAAATCAGGCCCTCACCCAGGATGCTCACCTGTCCTGTTCATGCAAGGCCGCTTCATCCTGGCATCCATGGCCATCAGCAGGTGAGTGAAGAAGGCCAGCCTGCAGAGCACCCATCTGGTTCTGAGCAGCACATACCTGCTGGGCATGCTTCATCCTCTGTCAGATCATCACTACCCACTGTGACTCTGAGGGGGGACAGAAAGACACCTGTCCATCCCTCCTCCGCCCCATCACCCAGCCCCTGAGATTCAAGCTTCTCTGACTGCTAAAGACCCAGAGAAGTCTAGCAGTTAGGCTATTCTGTGCTCTGCCTACACAAAGGGGGTTGAGGGTCAGCGACCCTGCAGCTTACAGCAAACCGGCCAGACTACTCTGGTGTTTCAATTCACCAAGCACCTTATTTTGGCAGGGAACAGAAGCCTTCTACAAAACGTTTCAAAGAACATTTTTGCCCAGAATGGGAAATCTGGGCCTCTCCACCTCAGAGAGACTGAAGAAGGGAAACTTGGAAATACTGTTGTTTAATTATTGTTAAAGGGCCAGCATGATCAGCTGAGGAAGATCCCCCGACTATCAAGACCTCCCAAACTCCCCAGGAGCTGAAATGGAAAGTACAGCGTGAAAGGGTGTGCAAGTGGCCTTTATTTTTTTAAAAGACGTGTGTACACAAAGGGCCAAGTAAATAACGTCCAGTCTGTGCAAACATCTCCCAGATCCCAGTTAAGAGAAAAGGACAGCCCAGCCAAGGCCCCACCCGGTTTTCACCGAGAAACGGGCCGCTGTGTGAAGGCTCCGGCGCACACCCATGGTCCGGCGCACACCCATGGTCCGGCGCCTTCTCTCCGCACGATGTGGCGGGATGCCTCTCCTTTTCCTGAGACCCGAGGCGTCTGCAGGAAGCTGCAAAGGCTAAAACACGATGTCTGCAGTTGAAAACAAATCCCAAGGTCTTACAGCTGTGCACAGGGGTTAGGGCCTTTTTCTTGAAGGCAGCTACGGCTCGGAGTCAAGAATTTCTTCGCATTCTGGCGCAGGGCGAGAATTCTAGAGGCAGCCTAGGGAGGCCTAAGCGAGGAGAAAACGGGCCGGGCAGGTTCGGTGCTTTCCCCGGGCTCACGATGCTTGCTCGAAGGATCCGTGCTGGTGCGAGTTTACAGCTGAACGGCTCCCTCCTTTCCTTCCCCGGTGGACGGTGCTCAGGAAGACGTCCCCGCAGGTCACCCGGCAGCTGTGAGGCGGCGCGGGGCCTGGGGCAGGGCCTCGGGCTCAGAGCGCGTCGGAAGGGCGCACGTAGCGCAGCGTGTAGTTGGCCCCCGCGTTGTTGTCCCAGTACTCGCCCTGCGCGCAGCGGTAGCAGACGGCGAAGTGGACCGCGGCGCCCGGCGCGTCCGCGTCTTCCCCCTCCTGGGGCTGCAGACCCGGCGGCAGGCACAGTGAGAAGTGGAAGCGCTCGGCGCCCGGTTCCTCCTCGGCGTCCCCGGGCCCCCCCGACGACGCCTCTGGCGGCTGTGGCTCCGCCGGCTCGGGCTGCAGCTCGGCCGCCACGTCCAGGAAGGAGCGCCACTCGGTGAAGGTGTAGCGCACCGCCACGGCTCTCGGCCCGGGACAGCCCAGCACCCGGCCGGAGCCCGTCACCTCTGCGCCCGAGGGCGCCGAGCACTGCACGCGCTCCAAGCACACGCGCTGCCGCCGCAGTCGCTCGGCGGCGGCGCTCGGCCCGGGAAGCTGGAAAAGAGGCCGAAGCCGGGGAGGTGGCGCGGAGAGGGGCGCGGCCGCTGCCGCCGCGGCCAAGAGGCCGGGGAGCTGCTCTAGGTCTTGGGCGCGCAGGGGGAAGCTGCGGAGGCGCGAGAGCACGGCGGGCGGCACCTGCGGCTCCTCGGCCTCGCTGAAGTGCTTCACGCTGGCCAGGCTCAGCCCCAGCGCGTCCGCGAACTGCACCCGCTTCTTGCACTTGGCGCAGCAGCCGCCGGGGCTGTGCGGCGCGCCCTCGGCCCCCTCGCCGCCCTCCGGGCCCAGCCCCAGGCCAAGCTGCTGTCGCTGCTGCAGCAACTTGGCCGCCTCCAAGATCGGGTCCGCGGGCAGGGAGAAGGAACGCGGGAGGCGGCGGCGGCACTCCCACGCCTCCTCCTGCTCTGGGGGAGCAGCCTCTTCCTCCGCCGGCAAGGGCTCAGCGTCGGGGCTTGGGGCCTCCGATGTGCCGCCGCCGTCCCCGCCACTCTCCATGCGGAGGACCCCCGGGGCGGGCAGCCCATCGGCTGGCGGGGGCTCTCCAAAGAGGGCGGGTCCCTGCTTCTCCGAACTTAGCGTCCCCTGGGGCTCCATGACCCTGCCGGGTCCCGGATCGCGTCCCCCCACCCCCTGCTCAGGGCTCCCCTGGAGACTTAACACCTTGGGTCTTTGCAGGAGCGCTCAGAGCCCGCCCCGGACCCGAGAGGAGAAGGCAGTTCCACCGGGGAGCCTCGGGTTTTAGCGGCGGCGGCCCGGGACGGAGTGGGGAGGAGGATGCGGGCGTGGGGCCGGGTCTGGGGATTGAACCTGCCCGAAGCGGGAGGGGGAGGGCCGTGGGAACACCTGGAAGCGGGGCGGCGCCGGCCAGAGCAACTGGGCGGGCTTGCCGAAGGCTCGGGCAGAAGGTGAGAGACGGCTTTCTGGAAGTCGGGGCCGCCCCCTTCCCGCCCGCCCACCCCGGCGGGGCCCGCTCTGTCCTGCCTCCGGAGCTCCTGGGGTGAACTGGCGCTCAGCTCTCGTGGACACCGGCGCGAACTGCCTTCTGCCCGTAAAGTCAGCCCCCAGGTCCTGGCGGGTCCGCCCGCCGGCGGGTCGCAGAGCGGTCTCCTCCCGGCTGTCGCATCGGCCCAGGAAGTCCCCGGGGCAGGCGCGCAATTAAGGAAGCTCGCCTGCGGGAGAGCCGGGAGGCGGCCGGCCGCGGAGTGCGAGCGCCGAGCGCCTCCTTCGCTTTTTCTTCTTTCCTTCCCAAACTTCAGGGCGCCCGGGCTCCAGTCCCGCTCTCCACCCGGCCCCGGCCCGGCGCGCTCGCCTCGGCGCTCCGGCAGTGGCGGCGCCCAGGGGGCTGGGGCCAAGTCCGGGGCGGGGACGGTGCCGGGCGGCGCGGAGTGGACGCGGCCCCGCGCCGACCGCTGCCGGAGGCCATTAGCGCGGGGCCCGGGAGCACGTCCCCACTCCTCTCCCCGCCTCCCCGCCCGATCCCGCCCGATCCCGCCCGCCGCGCTCGGGGCCTGAGGACTGGGGGCCACGCGGGACGGACGCCGCGCCGCGCCCTCCGCCGCTCCCCGCCGCCGCGAGGGGCCCTGGCGCGCGCTGGGGCTGCTTTGCTAGGCGGCCGACCTGCGGCTCTGCGGACGGAGCGCGGGGCCCTGGGCGCCCGGGGGACTTTCGATAGTGGGTTTTTGTGGTTGATTTTGTCTGGTTTTGATGATCTCATGATCTCCTTTTTCAGGTCGACTTTGCTTTGGCCAGAGTTAGTGGTTCTCAAACAGGAGCGCGCGTCAGTGTCACCTGGAGGGGTTGTGAAACCGGTCCTGGGCCCCATGCTGGTTCGGTATTTCTAACAAGGGCGTACTGATGCCGGGGCTCTAGGGTCTGTATCTTGGGAACTACGTATAAACCTGTGTGGACGTGTGGAGTTACTTGTGTAAAAAGCTAGGGATTCTAGCTTTTTTAGACATAGATCCAGTATTTAAGCATACATCCAGTATTTCAGGAAAGAAAAAAAAAAAGGAAAGTAAGAAAAGAAAAGCCAAATTACCCAGTAACGTCATTTAGGCATTGTAACTAAAATACCTTATGGTCTGGCAGAATTTAAAGGGGAATTAAAAGGGGCCAGTGCCTTAGGCATTTCGGTGAGGGGGCAAGCAGAAGGAGCTGAGTAGAGTCATATTAATAGCTCATATTCATGGAGCACCCAGCCATCAACAGTGCTGGTTTGAACTGACTCCTCTTGCATGATCTTATTCTCAGACCGTTTCTACTCTACAAATGGGACATAAAGGCGTAGAAAGATTGTTCACTACCCAGGCCTCACAACTAGGTGTGGTGGATTTGAACCCAGGTGATTAAGAGGGAAGATTTCTCCCATTGGTAGGAAGCCTGGGCTGGGGATGGTGTTCATGAGGTAGGGGCTCTGCTATCCTCTTGCTGGGATGGTAGGTCCTACTGTAGCCAATATAGAATACTAGAATTACATGTCAACTTGGGAGCTTACAAGAAGAACCAGATACTTCTGGTGTTCCTTCTGGAACAACTCCAAGATTTGCGGACAAAGATATTATTTTTACATTTAGGTAAACATTTATAGATTAGGGAATAAAACAAATTTTGCAAACTATTTGGAAGATAAAATAAGATTTCAAAGAGATTTTGAGGTTGTGCGGATCTTCTCAGGGCATGTGCCCACTGCAGGACTGGGACTGGAGAAGGTGAGAAACCTAAGGAGTGGGACTTACGGAGGCATCATTCTCAGGGTTGTGCAGGGCCCTGGGTCCAGCCCTGTTACTCTTCTCTTTGGTGAAAATGTTAGAGGACTCCACCCTCATGGAGCTCTCAGTATATTGGAGGAGACCAACGTTAATCAAAAATCCACGTAAGCAAATACAGACTCAGCCATTCTAGCAGGTGCTATGAAGGATGCAACCTGGCCAGGGCGACCTCCAGGAGGAGGGTGAGTGGGCCTACAAAGAACAATTCAACCCGTACACGGCCCCACATGGGAAGGAGTACGGGTCATAGGGAGAGACTGAAAGAAGCCTGTGTAGCCCAAGGGCCGGGGGCTGAGGATGCAGGGGTAGGCAGGGGCCAGCCACTCAGGGCCTTAAGCAATGAGAAACCATTGGAGTATTTTGTTTTTTGTTTTGTTTTGTTTAAAATTTTATTTATTTATATGACAGAGACATAGCGAGAGAGGGAACACAAGCAGGGGGAGCGAGAGAGGGAGAAGCAGGCTTCCAGCTGAGCAGGGAGCCTGATGTGGGGCTCAATCCCAGGACCCCGGGATCATGACCTGAGCTGAAGGCAGACGCTTAACGACTGAGCCACCCAGGCGCCCCGCCCCCCATTGGAGTATTTTGAATCATACGTGTGACTAACCAGATTTAAGTTTTGAAAGCTCCTTCTGGAAGCAGGATGAGGAGCAGATTGTGGGGGATAGAGGCAATGTGGGTGAATCTGTTAGGAAACTATCACTATCTTTCAGGTGAAAGGTGATCACACCTGGGTCAAGAGTAGTGGTGATGGTGGTGGGGTGGACATATCTGAGAGCTATTTAGGAGTGAAACCAGCATGACGTGCTTATGGCCCATAGAGGGGAAGGGGGGGAGGGCTGGAGGTGCCTTGAGGCTTTGGACACGAGCGGTTACTAGAGGCAGTCACACTCCCTGGGGGCAGGGACCATCAAGAAGAGGAATGGAGGGAGGGCAAGATCATGAATCCCATTTTGGGCATTTTGAGCTTAGTAGATTCTCTGTTCTTTCTGACACCAATTCTCTGACACCATCTGGGTATCCAGCTATTGAAGTCTGATTGTAACTACCTGGAGGTAGTATCAGATCTTGCAGGGTAAAGGGCTCGTTCCTGTGAGAGAGCTCCCTTTCGGATGCCAGCCATACATGGGGTGCCCAGGCCACCACACTTTGGGCCAGCCAAGTACACATTTGGGGGTTCCCATAATCCCCCCCTTTCAGGTTCAGTAATCCACCAGAATGGTTCACAGAACTCGGGTCAAGGGGATAAGAATGTGCTATCGCAAATATGCCACTTCGTCATAAAGATTATTTTGAGAAAGCAATTAAAGACAGCCAGCTCAAGATCTTTCTCCTCCCACTTTTTGCCTAAAAGCAGGGCCTAATTTTCCCTTTGCAAAAGTAACATAATAACTATCCACTTCTGAATGTGTTTCCCTCTCTTAATCACCAGAAATGACCCTGGAGATGATGCTGACTTAAGTCTGCATAAACTTACTAAACCTTAGAACCTACATAAACCTGACTAAATGACCTTTATCTTCCATTCGTTTCCCCCTTATATTTACCTTCCCACTATTACTGCCCCTAGAAGCCCAAGCACCTTTTCCTCTGTCACTTTTCCACAATTTATCACCCTTTGCTAAGGTGGATATAAGCTCCTTGGCCTAACAGCTTTTAGGGGTTTTCGCTTCTCTCTAGTGAAGTGCCCATGTGCATATGAGATAAACCTTTTTTACTCCTAATCTGTCTTTGTCAGTTTAACTTTGCAGCTCTGTTACTCTTCTCTTTGGTGAAAATGTTAGAGGACTCCACCCTCAGAGCTCTCGATACACTGGAGACCAACATTAACCAAAAAGCATACATCCAGTATTTAAGCATACATCCAGTATTTCAGGGGAAAAAAAAAACGTAAGAAAAGGAAAGCCAAATTACCCAGTAAGGTCATTTAACTGAATCTAAGAGGACAGAGGAAAAGTGTTTCCTCCCAAACACAGGAAAACACTTTACTTGCATTTACCAGTTTATCCAGCTGTATAAAGGATACAACTCAGGAATAATGAAATGAAAAAGATGTGAGGAGAGGAGTTCAGAGCTTCCAAGCCCTCTGCAGGTACGCCACCCTCCCAGCACGTCAATGTGTTCACCAGCCAGGAAGCTCTCTGAAGCTCATTGTTCAAGAGCTTTCATAGAGCTCAGTCTGCAGCTCTCTCCTCCTCCCTGGGCTACCCTGAGGCCATGTAGGGGCCCTACCCTAAATCATCTCATTAACATAAATAGGTGTGATTGAAAGGGGCTCCTAACTTAAGGCACTCCCATCACTCAGGAAATTTCCAGCGTCGTAGGCCTTCTGTGCCAGGACTGGGGACAAAGGCTAAATACATATTTTTATTACACCACAGAAGGATATACAGGTCTAGAGCTGAGAAAAGGGCAAGGGCCCAGGACTGAGCTCTTAGCAACTCGGGCGTTGAAAGGCCGGGAGGGAAAGGATGAGCCTGCAGAGGGATAGAGAATGAGCAGGGCTGGAGGAATGAGGAGAGTTCTGGTCCTCAGAAGCCACGGGACGACTTCAGAAGCAGGAGAGGTAAGCATTCCACTTGGGCTCACAGTGGCTTTGGGGTCCTCTTCCGTGTCTCCTGAAAGAGGTGGACCCAGTGGGTGGCCTCTGGCCCCAGACTCCCTTTCCCCTCAGCTTCCACCCAGGACAGGGTCTTCCCTACATGGGGATCTGGATGCCTGAAGTCAGTCATTAAATGATGCAGCATGCAAAATAACTCCAAAATGTCATCCACCCCACCGAAATGTGTTTAGTCCAACTTCAAACATCATGTGCCTCAGCTGCTA